TTTCCTTGAGAGTTTGAAGTGCTCTTGGTGTGTTCTTGAAGGTTTTGAGGAGAAAGAGGTGTAGATCAAGAAGAGGAGAAGGAGATCAGGCATCTTTGTGTCATTTCAACATATTCCTTGAGGTATAGCTCGTTTCCCCTCTGTTTTCAAGCTTGTAATCTCTTTTTGCTTCATTGGAGTCCTTCTTGGGCTCTTCCCCAAGCTTGTTTGTGCTTTGTGGGTGATAATAAGTTGTTAGCCTTTAGATCTAGGCATGATCTAGTCCCTGGAACTTGGATCTAATGCCTTTATGGGGTCATATTGCATGAAAGCCCTAGATCTACCCCTTTTGGTGCACTTTGAGCCTTAAAATCCATATTGGTGAATATCTACACGTAAAGTTGGAAACTTTACGTGTGATTTGTGTCCTAGAAGCCCAGATCTGTGAATGGCATGGACTGGAATCGAGCAAATCGGTGTATTTGATGGATGCATGGCTGCGACTCGGCGAGTCATATATGTGACTCGACGAGTCTGGTCGCGAGTCACTGAACCGGTCCCTTTAAGATGTATCGAGTTGAGCCGTGAGTCACAGGGGGTGACTCGGTGAGTTGGAAGCTGAACTCACTCATGATAGGACTCGGCGAGTCAATGCCCTGACTCGGCGAGTCCAAGGCAATCTTCATAGATCAAGAACAGACTCGGCGAGTTGTTCATACAACTCGGCGAGTCTTAGCATATGTGTTCTTCGGATGAAGATGAACTCGACGAGTTGTTCATACAACTCGGCGAGTAGGATGAAGGAGTTGAATGACAGTTTAGAAGATGAACTCGTCGAGTCATAGCCCAACTCGACGAGTAGAATCAGGGACCCAGGACAATAGTTTGCTAGGGACTCGGCGAGTGGAGATCCACTCGGCGAGTCGGGTAAACTAATAGTTGACTTCGATTTGACTTAGGGCTAGACCAGGGGTAAAATGGTCTTTTTACCCAAAGGACAGTTAGCAGTGTATGATTAAGTATATTGTGGGAATTACAGCCGGGGAGTTTCCGGAGCAGCAGCAGC